TACCAAAATGCTTCCAGGTCGAAAGGATTAGATCAAACTCTGCAATGATTACTCATGCTCTACAACCCTTATCACAACAATTATGGACAGGGACAGCCTGCCTCACTGCCTGCTCGTATGGGCTGCCATATTATGTGAGAAATAAATAAAATAAAATAAAAATAAAATGAAGCAATTCATATAAAGTATACTGCTTGATCAGCACAGTGGAAGAGAAAAGCTGTAGATCTAACTGTATACACAGATACTTGGCACACAGAACGGGGGGGGGAAGAAAGAAAGGTTACTGGCAGTATTTTTCCTCTTAACCAAAATCTCTCTATTGATGCACTTAAGGGATAAATGAGAAAAGCTAAGTGTTCCAGGAGTTCAAATTGCTGTTTCATTAAATCAGTATCAAATTGAGGTCCTTCTACAAATACATCTGTATAATGCTGTCATCCAGTTGATCAACTCTAAAGCAGCTGAAATGTGTTTATTTACTTATTTATTTAAATAGCATGAGTTTAGGTAAATATTAATACAGTACATGAATGAGCTTGGAGGATGCACTACTAATAATTCAGAACTCCTATTTAGCACACATTTTGCTTACTTTCTTTTTTTTAGTACAAGCATTACCAATAGAAGACCACTTCAAGTTAAATTAACGAAGGCAGCAAAGTAGTCTTAAAATTTCTGTGAGGCTTCAATTGCTACAAATTTCATTATGCTTCCAATAACTTTTTTTACAAAAAAAAATAAAATTAACGTAGCCCAATTTTCTACAAAAATTTCTGTAGAATGTGTTAAATTGCATGATCTCATAAAACACGGTTTACTTCATCCTGTTATGCTAAGAAAAAGAATACCCATCTGTTTGGGGTTTTTTCCCAATGAAGTCTATTTTTTTGGTTAAAATTTTGTTTGAATCTGAACTATAAATTGGACCAGGCCATGTCTGAAGCTCTTGATTGGGTGGTCTCTGGATATCTACCAAGAACTTCCAGTAAGCTATAACTCAGGAACTGTCACTATCAAAATAGATATTTTCTGAAGCAGTTCATTCCATAGTATTTTTTAATCTCATGATGCACTACTTTTTCAAGCAGGGTCTCGGCATCCGTCTTTAAAAGCAAAAATGGGAGATTTCTTGTTGTAAAACCTTTTAAGGTTACGTAAGTTATTTGGTTAGTTATGTTGATCATGACTTTAATTTGATAAGTTGTCAAAATTATTTATTGAAATTCTTATACATTGCTTTATTATTTCCTGTTTTTATGGTTATAATTTACCCTAAACTGTCCCTAGGATACTGAACTGAAAAGGCAAAGTAAATGTTTAAAACTCAGGAAGTCTCTATATAAGGCATATCAAATTAATAGGATGCACATTTTTAAAAATAATTCAGAAGAACAAGTTACATGAGAAAAAATACATAACAGTCATGCAGGATCATGACAACAAGAAATTCTCCATCAATGTAAATAATCTTTTAGGCAAAGTCACTTCAATATACCTGCTTTTTATAGCATGTTAATGTAAATGTTTGGTTCAGATCAATGGTGAAATTCAAAAATTTTCCCTACCAGTTCTGTGGGTGTGGCTTGGTGATGATGTGACTGGGTGGGTGTGGCTTGGTGGTCATGGGACCGAGAAAACCAACTATCACACTTTACACAAAAATAACACAAAAGCTACACAACTGACTCACACACAATGCAAAAGCAGCTGGACTTCACATAAAATGGCCCCTGCAACAAGCAGGAACCTCACAGAATCATAGAGAGCTCAAAATCGAACTATCACATTTTACACAAAAATACCGGTTTGGGCAATAGGTAGTAAAAAAATGCTTTAAAAAGTAAAAAAAAAGTTCCAATGATCACGTAGCACAGCTGATTGTCACAGCTGATTGTTGGAACTTTTTTTTTTTTACTTTTTAAAGCATTTTTTTACTACCTATTTCCCGAACCAGTAGTGAAAATGCTACTGGTTCACCCAAACCGGTAGTTTATTTTTTTTAAAAAAAAGCATTTTAAAAGTTACAAGGATCAGTTGTGCTGCGTGATCATCGGAACTTTTTTTTTTTTACTTTTTAAAGCATTTTTTTTACTACCGGTTCGGGCGAATCAGTAGCATTTTCACTACTGGTTCGGGTGAACCGCCCTGAACCGGTAGCATTTCACCCCTGGTTCAGATTATTAAAAGAGAACTAAACTAAGGCCTAACCAAGTCACCTTTAGAACAAGTTTCAACCTGATTAGGGTATTTAGATGGGAAAGTTAAGAAATAGGTTTACAAAATTTTTGAAAGTTGTTACATATCTTCTAAAAAAACATCTTGGCAGAATGGTCTGCCCTGCACAATAAATTAGAGGGTACTTTATTATGATTTGGAACAAATAAATATTTCTCAAAATAATTCTCTACTTTCTTAACTCTAATGATGAACATGCACTCCAAGAGCATTTTCTAGATTTCAAAACATACATAAGTTATCCACCATTACCAGTATCTCCTTTTGAACAATATATATTTTAAATAGGTATAAACATAAATAATAAAATAAGAAGGGATAATTTAGGTACTGACTCAATGCAGAAATACAAAAGCATCCCTAACAGATGGCTGTCTGGCTGCTGTTGGAACTCATCCAATAAAAGGGAGACTACCATATCATTGGGAAACTGGCTCTACCGTCAAACTACTCTTACTATTACAAAATGTTCAGTTGCACTCTGCCTTCCTGAAACGTTAATCTATTCATTGTCCTGAACTCCAAATGACAGAGAACAGATCTTGGCCTTCTTTCATGTGACATCATTTCAAGTATAATATCTCCCCTCCGTCTCCTAAACTTTCCAGAATCCATAATATATGATGTTCAGAACCAGACACAATACTTGAGATGGGGTCTGATTAAAGCAGAATAAAGGGGAACTTTATAAGAAGTAGCTTTTAAAAAATAAATAGAAGCACTTCTACTTAAGTAATGTTTTTAACGAAAATGAAGAAACTAATAAAAGCATCTTGAAATGCAGAGAACGGACTAATATATATGCATGCATGTATGTATGCGTGTATTTTATAAACTGATTGTGTTGATTTGCTACAGCTTATCAATAATAGTATTCTAGCCAGAGAAAAGGTCTGTTTTATTTTTTAAAAAGCCTACAGAAATACCTAATTAGTTGATTTTACTAAAGCTTATCTTCCAAAAACCAGAAGAAACAGATCAAGGTTCATAAAACAATTTAACAATAACAAATGACACCATGTTATTATAAAAATATTCCATTTGTGAAAAATAATCTTACTGACTCCAAGACACTGATTAGAAAAAGAGTTATAAAAGTTATAAAGAGCATTTTAAACGGAAAAATACACACATTTTTAGTTAGCAATTTTGCAAGTATAATCCTAAACACAATAACAACAATATACCTATAGCATAATAAATGCAATTCTCTTCACAGGCTTCATTTGGAGGCAGTTTCAGTAGCAAATATGTGTCCACCCAATTGTGTGATCTTCAGATGGATTGAATTATAGTTCCTATTACCTCTAGTAGCCATGATCAATGATCATATTGAATGGATATGAGAAAAAATCTGGTTTATATAATTTGAGTGCCAGGTTAAAAGATGCTGAGTTTAGGTTTAGAACACAATTACAGGGAAAGGAATGATAGTGATGAGACCAATATGGAATCTTGAGAGCATATAGTAGCACTTGCATTATATAGTTGCTGTTGGAAAAGCAAGATTGTTCCTAAAATTACTGCTCTGGTGAATAAGGGTATCCTCTTTTACTGGCTATTCTCTATTTCTCCAGCTTAGCTGGGACACATTTGCAAGCAAAACATCAAGCTATGACACCCACCATTTTTATTTTCTAAGGATGCATTTGTTGTTTATTTTTCTTGTAAATAAAGATAATGCTTGGACTCAGGGGTGAAATCCAGCCGGTTCTATCTGGCTCAGGCGAACTGTTAGCGGCGGCTGCGGGAGGCTCCGCCCACCCGCGCGGATGTCATGACATCGCTTTTTTGCGACATTTTAAGCCTCTGCAGATGCGTAGATGATGACATACGTGAACGCACATTGGCGAACCAGTATGGAAGGTAAGTAAATTTCACCCCTGCTTGGACTTGATATTTTGCTTTATAAACTGTCCAACTTCCTTTTTTTCAATTAAAAAGATTTCTTAATTGGTCAAAGGTAGAAGAGGACTTGGCAAGAAAAGTTTCTGCAGTGACTTTGGCATCCACAAGTATTAGTCTACCTAATTGAGAATGCCTCTGCAAACATAAATTCTTGTTTATAGAAAGCTAGAAATGAGACTGCATTATAGCCTTTATTCAAAAATCCAGGTAGTTTTTGTGTGAATTGTAAGTACCAACACACAAAAAGATGGTCACTGACTTATCCTACCCAACAGTTATAAGCCTCCATCTAGATTCTAGAAGCACTGTCCATTAGTAATATGAGAATAGATTCAGCCCACCCACTGCATATTCTCTGTATGCTTACTGACTTCAAATAATATTTCTATTTCTACATTCCCTTTAAAGTTCCATCATCTGCATATGACATGTGGTCTTAGAAGATAGAGATTCAAGAATATTGCATTTATGTAGATATTGATAATGAAAATGAAAATTACAAAACCTTTGTTACAGAGAAAAAAATATTGAGCTGATTAAGAGATGAAAAGAAATAACCTTTTCTAAGTCGTACTAAACAGTACTAGAATTGGAAGAAAAGGCTATTTAAAAAAAAAAAGCACTAGGACTATTTTTTTTCTATACAAATAAGGAAGAAACCATCTTTTTCTCATCTCTATTTAACAAACAGAATCAAACTGTTTCTCACAAAACTTTCCAAGGCCACAGATGCAGAATGTAGCACCTTCCCCTAGAAATTCTGTTTCCATAAACTATTAGCAAAAATTAGTGTATGCTTCATTAAAAAAGTACACAGCAGATTATGTGAATTTAATAAAAAATAATTACTGTACCTCACAGTGAAATCGTAGGAACAAGAAACCAATATAGTGGGATGAAATGGTGAAAACTGCAAAAGAAATAAGAGAACCACAAAATAAATCTCAATACATATTTGTGGGGGTGGAGGAGAGGGAGAGAAAAGTATTTAGAAAGAAAAATTCTTGTTAAATAACAGTATTAGGGAACCAAATGAAAATATTATTTTGTATAAAAATCAACATAAAGTTGATTTGGTGTTGCATCCATAATCTCTGCCATAATTAAAATTTCAACTTAATATAAAATACCTTACAGGAAGTTATGGTACGTGTCTCTAAGATACAGACTGACCATAAATTGTCAAATCACAAAAAATGCAACTAAAAATCCAAACTATTGAAATGCTTAAAATACTTTAAAAACATATCGCAGCAGTGATATATATCTATGAAAATATGTTATCATTTGACAAAATACTTATGAGAGATTATGTCTTCTATTGTTAACACCAAGGCAGGAATTCTTTTTAATTACCAAGATAACTTAATCTGGATTCAATTTAACTTAATCAATTGGATTCAAGGATGAAAACTGGCAACAGAAGTTCTTATAATTTTGCCCATTACAAAGAGTAGATTATTAATCATAGATTAATATGATGACATGAACTGGAAAGCTGAACAAAAGTTGCAGCAAAGATGGAGACCAAGAGCCAAACTCTACTACCCTCATAGCTAATTCCAGCAACACTTACTTTAAATCAATCTTTTTTCAAGCACATTCATAAAAAACAGCAATTTTCTTCAGAAAGATTTATCGTATTAAACATCTCTTATTTTTTCCCCTTAAATGCTGAAACAGCAAGAATGTCTAACAGAAATCTGAAATAAATTCCACGTTTCAAATTCTGAATACTTTCTGAATGTCAAGTCTGCTTTACAATTGAAACAGCTGTTGAAATAGAACATTTCACATTCAATATGATTTAAAATCAAGATAGTTCACACAGCCTTCATTTACCAATTAATGGCCTGGATTAGGAGAGGGGTAGGATGTATAATATTTTCACACTTTACAGTTTATTGTAGCTCAGGTAATCTGAATATAAAGTCCAAGGCAACCTGATACCTAGTTTTAGTCTGGTGAAGGATTGATGGTGAGCAATTTTCAAGCTAGCACTTAGTAATTTGCTTTCAGAACAATACTTAACTAGCTTGCTAACAAAATATAGTGTACAGGTTTTTTTTCATATTTATGACTATTGCAGCATTCCCATGGTCATGGGATCAAAATTCAGATGCCTGGCAACTGGCATGTATTTATGACCGTTGCAGTGTCCTTGGGTCATGTGATTACCTTTTGTGACCTTCTGACAAGCAAAGTGATTGGGGAAGCCAAATTTAACAACTGTGTAGTAACACAGTTGACACTGTGTTACTTGACACTGTTATTTAATTGATTCACTTAACAATTATGGGGAAAAAAGGGCAAAACTCACTTAACAACTTAACTTTGGGCTCAACTGTGGTCATAAGTCAAGGACTACCTGTACTTCCTCAAGTAGTTTACTGACATTAAGTTATATTATGACACGACTATTCCCATTGTCAATAGGATCGAGTTTGGTATAGTGCAGGGATGAGCCAAGCTGTCTCAAGAATTCTGGAAGTTGAAGTCCACAGGTTGTAAAAGAGCCACAATTGCCCACCCCTGGTATAGTGGTTAAGGCTAGAAACCAGGAGTCTGTGAGTTCTATTTCTCCCTTAGGCTTGAAGCCAGCTAAGTGACATTGTGCAACATTCTCTCAGACCTAGGAAGCAGGCAATAGGAAATTATTTCCAAAAACCCTTGCCAAGAAAACTTGTCCAGGCAGTCGCCAGGAGTTAACCTTGATTCAAAGGCAATAAATAAAACAACAAAATCATTGTCTATTAAAAAAAAGATGAACAATGACTTGTTCTTGACTATTTTACTGCCATCATCATCTTAGTATACTACCGACTGTTATAAATATTTCTTAAAATCTACCCTGTTGTTCAGCTTTTACCTGATTTTAACATTTATTACTTCTGATATTATTAATTTGTATTTATCTTCTTTATTGACATTATCATTTTGTATGCCCCCTTAGAATTCAATCTGGTAAAAGAATGGTCTGTAAATATTTTATAATGTAAAACCCACACAACAGGAGGAGGAAACAGGGCCTGCTGAATGAGGAACACAAATGTGGAGCTCATCAAACACTCTGCTGGGTTTTGTGGACTGCCTGTTTTCATAGCCATTTAGAAATGTAATAATCAGAAAAATACTAAAACTTACTTTCACTCTTCTTATTGCATATGTATGCCCAAGCAGACTGAATATAGGTTTCCGGGTATTTCTCAGGTCCCAGCCTTTCAAATTGCAGTCAACAGCACCTGTTACAAGTAGGTTCTAGGGATGGGGGGAGGGAGAGGGAGAGGGAGATGCACAAAAAGAGTTTTATTCTACGAATACAACAGCTCTCAAGTTGTAAACCTAAAGAACAGAAATTTCAATATGAGAAAAACTTTGGAATGCCAGAGATCCAAAGTTACATTAACAAGCCTATTTCAGTTCATTCCATTAAAAACGGGAATTTCAGGGTGACTTTGAACCAGCTGCTATCTGATAACTCAGCTTATTTCAAGGTTACTACACTGTCAATAAATTAAGGGAAGATCTCAACAATATAAAGGTAGGTATAAAGCTGTTGGTATTATTAAAACCAATAGCAAATGGAGAATAATCATAATCTGAAGCAATCCAAAAGCAATACTAAATCCTAAAATAATAAAAGCAGCTTCTCCACTATTTCCATTTATTGTACCTGATCATATTTGCACCAATCACAGCTTAAAACCTCAGCTTGGTGAGCAGGAATTATCACTGGGAGTCCTGGTGATTTTGCATCCCAAATCCGTAGAGTTTGGTCACCTGAAACAGACACACTAATAAATGTTTCCCACTTATAAATTGTTTAGAAAGGATGGAGAGATAATTAACACATTTATTTACAAAGGCTGTTTAGTTCATCAAACTGGTCACTTCACAAATGAAAAAGCACTGAATCCTAAAGGAAGAAGTTTAACATGTAAATTTTAAAGAGGAAGAAGTGCTATTACCTATGTTAGGAAGCTGATATTTTTAATTATTTTTGTTGAAAGTTTAAAGAGATTTTATTGTGATTATGGATCACTATACAGCTTTACATATTATGCTAGAAAATAATTGTATCAGGTATACAGTATACAAGTCTGTGAAAAATATGCTACAAAAAATGAAAGTGAAATAAACCATAAATTGAATAAAACCCATGCCAAGGAAATTCAACCATGGCCAGTTATCAAATTTTCAAGACTGATGTCATACTTTGAAGGTAGGCCAGGCCAGGAAACAGATTCCTCAAGAAATACTAATCTCTGCTTTATTGATATAGGTTATAAGTTTCATAATTTCAGGGTGCTTCTGGACTCACGGCTCCTTGTTTGTCAAGGAACTGTGAAAAACAGTGACTGAAAAGGTGTCTAAAGCAGTACTGGCAAAAAGGAGGATATCGTCGAATACTTGTCAGAGCTTAAATAGTACCAACAAGCATACCAAATCAGCAATTATTCTCTACATTTATTGCATCTTTAATTCCTACACAGTGGCCTTGTTCACATTTACTCATAGCCTTTCAGGTAGGGATAGCAGACCAAAGTCCTACAAACATAAAAAATGAATTTGAGGGTTTTCTGTCAGATGAACTCAATCATATCTGCCCTAAATTGGGTTCCAGTTTATCATGGCACTTGCTGGTGAAACCAGGCACCATTTTGTGGCATAACTTTGGATATTTTTGAACATTTAGAAGTATCTAAACAGCTGAACAGCTGGATCCATGAAGTAATTAACACTTTTTGTGGGGAAGGATTAATGCTGCCAGCTTTGAAAGGAGCAATAATCTACAGTTCTTTAAGATGTGATCACTAGATCAGGCTCAGTTTGATAACTTTTTCCCGATCTCCTATTTTTCCATTCTGGGCATCTCATTCCAAGTACCTTGGTAGCATCACAGACTGGAAGGATCTCCACCATCAAAAATTAAACATGAACAACTGCTAACTTTCCATCCCCTCTTCTGTTTTCAGAATTGTCAGTTATGGACATCTTGGAACCTAGGAAGGAATCTAAATCTGAGGGACTTTTATTCAAGCTCTTTATCAATATAGCCACTTAAATTTGTTACTTTCATTTTTAATGAGCACTTAATAGAACCTGCTGGTTCACAGCTGAGATGGCAAAGCAGCTGATTTGTACACTGATCAGCTCCCATCTGGAATAATGCAGCAGTCTGCTGGCTGGATGACTCAATTCCACTCTGCCTTCTGATCTAGTTTGTTCCCTGTGTTGCTGTTTGGATTGTTCCAGATGTCCTCTAAACTATCTTTACTTCTCCTTTGTGCCCATCCCCACATACTTGTGAAAAATAACAATGTAATTGGTTAATTTTAACTCACCAGCCCTTACACAGAAGAGTAAAAGAAGAAAAAAAAAGCTTATTTGGAAAATAAGCTCGTAGCTCATGTCTGTGTTGAGAGTTGACAATTACTTCTCTGCTCCAAATTAGTTATAGTGTGGTTGAGAGCTTCTTCGTCTAGTATTCTTTGGAACCACGTTCCATTGGTATTATGCCTAGATTATAATTTATTAAAAATGTAGAAGGTACTTATAAAACTCTTCATTAATTCTGATAGATGGCTTTACTGAAGCTGTACATTTTAAGCCATGATATCAAACTGCAATGTTTGATACAAATTTATTGATACAAATTTATTGATATTGTATTTTATCATTCTGTACTGAACCTAATAACAAGCAAATGAAAACTCAAGCAACTAGAAAAACTCAAGCAATTACTACTACAATACTGAGGTATTTAAAAACAAGATTAATACTTTAGTGGAAGAGTGTTTGAAAAATGTGTTTCTGGAAACCTGAACGAAGGAACACTGGACAGCAAATTACAAATAGTGGCAAAGAAATATTCTTTTTCCAGTATATTATTAATGCAGTGTGGGAATAAACATCAACTAAGGGAATATATATACTGAACATATTTTAGGAACCCCTACTGGGAAAAAAAGATTTTGTTCTGGTTTTGCTTGTTGAAGGAAGTCATAGGCATCAGAACTTCTGCCAGTGTTTACAGAAGCTGTCCTGGCAGGATACTATATAACAGGTTAATAGATTTGGAAGGGACCTTGGAGGTCTTCTCCTGCTCAAGCAGGAAATATAACAATGCCGAGCAAAATAATAGCTTTTCATTGGCAGGCAAAACCAAGTGGAAGACCTCAGTGGTCAGATATATTGATCTGACCACTGTATAAAAATAACAGAAAAAGATGGTTTTATCAGAAAGCCTAGAAAATTCTAATGACATTATTTGTTTTCATATGAATGATGTTGATATGGCATTGTTTGCATTGGCAGCTAAAAAAAACAAACAAAAGGAAAATGCTAGATATAGTAGCGTGGTTATAAATTACTGTAAACCGCTGATTGATAACTTAAGGGTTTCTTGTTCTATGAAATTTCTGGGCAACAGTTGATTCCATTTGCGATTTTGACCTTTTCTCTATACATTGATTTTTTATTGTCCCAATTTGAGGGAAAGAGAGCCCTATCAAATCAGCTCTAACATATCAGCTAGCTACCAAAACAGCTGCTAACATCTGCCATAAAAAATATGCTTGGAAATACCTAGTTGGAGTAAATAGGCCAGGGTGGGCAAATAATTTTCCCAAAGGTCCACATGAGAAACTGGGAAATCTAATGATACAGGTAATCCTCAACTTATGACCAAAATTGAGCCCAACATTTCTGTTACTAAGTGAGACATTTGTTAAGTGAGTTTTGCCCCACTTTATGACTTTTCTTGCCATGGTTGTTAAATGAATCACTTCAGTTGTTAAGTGAATCTGGCTTCCCTATTGACTTGGCTCATCAAAAGGTTGCAAAAGAGGATCTCATGACCCCATGATGTTGCAGGATACTACAATGGTTGCAAGCGTGAAAAATGATTATAAGTGACTTTTTTCAGTGTCATTGTAGCTTCAAATGGTGACTATGCAAACTGTTGTAAGTCAAGGACTAGCTGTACAAGTCTATAGAGGATCAAATATGCATTTATTTGTTCATTTAGCATAACAATCATAATTTAATCTTAATACAGTTCGAGTGTATTATGTATTGATGAAATCAGTAACGGAAGATGTGTATTCACTAGCATAACCTTTTATAACCTCTAATCTTTGGCAATAGTTCGAGAGTTAGTTCAAGAATTAAATAATATTTAAAATACTTAAGTCTTAGCAGAACTCCAATCTTTAATAGATTAAACCAGAATCCAATATTAAAGTTTCTAATTATGCAAAAATATACCAATGAAAAAACTTTTCACCAGGAGGAACTTTTTTAACAATAAAAAAAAAGATTACTGAGCTTTGGTCTAATGCTAGACATAGAGTAACAACTATCTCCTATTTCTTAGTGTGTACTATGCACATCCAGCCTCTTAAATCTCTGTCTCAAGATTACTTAACTTCAGGGTCCTACAAAAAAGAAAACAGACTCCACAGGTTTGAAATCCATCCATAGTTAATTGTCATCATAAAGCCAAGCAAAAGTTTCCCAAATTAAATTTGCTACTGCAGCTACCCAGTGAGCTACTGCTCCACCAGGAAGCGCGGGAGGACCCCTTGGAGGGAAGAGCCGAGGATTTTGTTCAGTATCTGTATGACAAAATCAATCACTCGGGCAGGTCTGGACTCTGACGGGATAGATCCAGCGAGGGTAACGGAGACAGGTCTTGAGACTGTTAACTGGGATGAGTTTGATCCTGTGACCCCAGATGACGTGGACAGGATTCTGGGTAGACTGAACGCGACCACATGTTTGTTGGACCCGTGTCCCTCCTGGTTAGTGCTGGCTTCCCAGGAGGTGACGCGTGGCTGGCTCCAGGGGATTATAAATGCTTCGTTGGGTGAGGGTGTCTTTCCCGCCGCCCTGAAAGAGGCGGTGGTAAGGCCTCTCCTCAAGACGCCTTCCCTGGACCCGGCAGTATTGGCTAATTATCATCCAGTCTCCAACCTTTGCTTCGTTGCGAAGGTTGTTGAGAGTGTGGTTGCGCGACAGCTACCCCAGTACCTGGATGAAGCGTCGTATCTAGATCCGTTCCAGTCGGGCTTCAGGCCTGGGTACAGCACGGAAACGGCATTGGTCGCGTTGGTTGATGATCTCTGGAGGGCTCGGGACAGGGGTTGTTCCTCTGTCCTGGTCCTGTTAGACCTCTCAGCGGCTTTTGATACCATCGACCATGGTATCATGCTGCACCAGCTGGAAGGGTTGGGGGTGGGAGGCACCGTTTTACGGTGGTTCTCCTCCTTTCTCTCTGACCGGTCGCAGTCTGTGTTGACAGGGGGGCAGAGATCGACCCCGAGGCCCCTTATATGTGGGGTGCCGCAGGGATCGGTTCTCTCGCCCCTTCTGTTCAACATTTATGTAAAGCCGCTGGGCGAGATCATCCGTGGTTTCGGGGTGAAGTACCATCTGTACGCTGACGACACCCAGCTGTACATCTCCACCCCGGACCACCCCAACGATGCCCTTGAAGTGATGTCCCAGTGCCTGGAGGTCGTACGGATCTGGATGGGGAGAAACGGGCTCAGGCTCAACCCATCCAAGACCGAGTGGCTGTGGTTTCCGACGTCCCGATATAGTCAGCTGGCGCCATCGCTGGCTATTGGGGGCGAATCATTGGCCCCCACGGAAAGGGCTCGTAACTTGGGCGTCCTCCTGGACTCACGGCTGTCTTTAGAAGAGCACTTGACGGCCGTGACCGGGAGGATTTTTCATCAGGTTCGCCTGATTCGCCAGTTGCGTCCCTTTCTAGA